ATTATAGATTAGCAGTGATAAAGGGAGGGAAATAGGATTAGCAGTAATAAAGGGAGGGATATTTTAATAGTAAAGAGCTGCAGCAGCCAAACCACCGCGTATCAAGCTCGTGCACACATCTATATTCCTCTGTTGATATGTAAACTCCTTTGTCAAGACTCTCTCCTCCTCCGACCCAGCTTAAAAATACGCTGCCAAGCTTAGCAGTGTTCATTAGGACGCTGTCTTTCCGACAGCTCTGTTCTACACATGAGGACGGCTGCTTGCGTTGTGGCCGAAACGTCGTGAGAATTTTATCTTATTACGTAACATTTTTATTATTTTATTATTTCCCTTCTACGTGACTTTACCGAAAGAACCAAGAATATGAATCCATGCAGTAACGAAAGCTTTAGATCGAAATTTAACTGCCTCTACGGAGAGGGATTCCACATAACTTTGAGATCCTTCAACAAACTCCGGGATAAGGCTCAACTAATCGAGTCTCTCACCTTTCTGAAGAGATGCCGCGACTCTAAGGTAATACCAATCGCATTTACACTAAACTCTGCTGCTGTAACTTCTTCTAATGTGAAACGAATTCTGTCTAGAACTAGCTTAGCTCTTATCTCAGAGAAAATTAGACTTACGCGCACCGAACTAGGTCAGTTAAATAAGACACTCTACTAATCACACTTATCATTGACGGCAACAATGTCCACATCGGATTGGGAACATGTAGACTGCCTCTTCAGCTGACACTATGTCGACCAAATGTAAGGACAACTTGATTTCCAAATGTAACCTCTCCAACAAGAGACCTAACCCACACACCGAAAAGCTAGACGTTAACAAAGTCGTAATTAATCGCAGTAACAGTCTATTACCGATGGTCTAAAATCTGTTTTAGCTAAAGGGCTAAACTTTCCAGTCACACTTAGACACATACCAGTTAATGATATCATTGCCCAAGTAGACGTAGCTCGCAAGGGCCTGGGTCACATCGCTGCAGACGTAGTAAGATCTGAAATAGCTGCAACCCTAAAAAACGCTAAGATGCCAGCTAGCAACATCAGCAAAGATGAGCGTTTTGAATTATCTCAATTAAAAAAGGGATGACATTGTCATCCTCTCAGTCGACAAGGGCAATGCCACTGTCATCATGGACAAAATAGAATACAACAACATTCAAGAACTACTTAACGATGGCAGCTATACATAAATAAAAATAGACCCCCACCAACAGCTTCGTCATTAAAACCAAAAAAATAATTTCTAATTCAACCACATTAATTGATCAAACCAAACAGTTCTCGTTGAAAACTTCTGCGGCCAAGCCACCAAGATTATATGGCTTACCAAAGATACATAAAGAAGAAACACCCCTTCGTCCCATTGTCTCTACTATCAACTCCCCCACCTATAAACTGGCTCGTTTTTTGTCTGAAATCCTGCGGCCTTTCACTGGAAAAACCACCTCTGCAGTACTAAACTCTACTCACCTGGTATCGACAATGAAGAGTATTTCCCTGTCCCCAAACGACCTGCTTGTCAGTTTTTACGTGGTCTCCTTATTCACCAATGTTCCTGTACCTGACACCATCGCAATCATTGAAGATTTGGTTCATCAAGGACTGAATACTGAGGTACCCCCCCTGGTGAGACACTGCTTAACCAATAAATACTTCACCTGGAATGGAACTTTATACAAACAAACTGAGGGCACCCGAATGGGCTCCCCCCTATCTTCGGTTGTAGCCAACGTTTTCATGGAGAAATTTGAGACTGACGCCACCCAGACTGCCACTCTACACCCGATCTTATGGAATAGGTACGTGGATGACACTTTTGTTATCTGGCCACATTGCCGGCCTGCTCTAGACCAATTCCTCGACCACATCAATTCCATACACCCAGCCATCAGATTTACCATGGAAGTCGAAAAAGATGGCAAGCTACCTTTTTTGGATGTCCTAATAAAAAAGAGACCTGATGGTTCAATTAGCCACTCTGTCTACAAGAAAGCTACCCATATGGATACTTACCTAAAACCGGATTCCCACCACCATCCATCCCAGAAGAATTCCCTCATCAAGACTCTACACCATAGAGCCCAATGCATCTCCGACCGGGAACACATTGCCAGTGAACTCAAGCACGTACACCAAGCTCTCAATGCTAATGGTTACTCCAACTACACAATCCGCAAAGCCATCACTCCAACCATGAAGAAGGATCCTCTTGAGGAGCCATTCAAAACCATCACCTTACCCTACATTGTAGGGGTCACAAAAAAGATCTCCAAAATCCTGAATAAACACAAGATTCAGGTCCGATTCAACATGGTACATAAAATCCGTGATCTGGTCCCATCTCTAAAAGATGTGACTCCAGACATACAGTACTCTGGCATCTACAAACTAAGTTGCCTCTGTGGTAGCAGTTACATTGGGGAAACCAAACGACATGTCTCGGACCACATCCGTGAACACAAGGCAGACCTGAAACACGGTAGGACCAACTCCTCAGCCGTGGCAGACCATTGTTATAATTCAGTGGGCTCACATGACATTGACTTCTCCAAGATGGAGGTTCTCTGCAAGCCATCTGGCTACCATTAGAGATTTGTTCATGAGGCCATACATATATACAAACACAGAGACAATTTCAACTGAGAAGATGGATTCTGGCTCAGCAATCACTGGAAGGAGGTGATACACCATTTCGGGTCTTGATTGTGTTAATGTTTACGGTGACTTTCAGACCGCAGTACATTCGCTGGCATTGACTATATAGCTTTTGTTTTCTCTTCACGGATCGGAGTCTTTGCTCCGCTGCAAGTTTCTTCCTACCACTCTCCCACTGACATATTTCTTTGCTTCCTCTTAGTACCTTCACGCGACTGTCAATGCTATGGCGTATTGTAGATTGTATAATAATAAATAGTATAATAGTGTAATGTTTAATAGAATTTATAAGGTAATACATAGTAGCATAATTGTATAGTGAATATACAGCTGTGTGGTATACATTAGGGTTATTATTTGGTTCTTTCGGTTAAGTCACGTCTAAAGATAAAATAATAAAATAAATTAAATAATAGCATACGACGTTTCGATTGCAACACAAGCAATCATCATCAGGTATACATGAAATAGCGACATAAAATCTAACCAGAAAACTATAGACAGACATATTAGCAGACAGATATCTCCAAGATACATAGAGAGAGCAACACAGGTAACAGAGAGGGGTGATCATCTCTGTGGGGTGGCCTTAAATAGACAGAGGGGGGCGGAGGCAGAGAGAGGGAGGGGGTTAGAGAAAACATTTGCATATCAATGAGTGGACAACAAACATGGTGCTGCAAGTGCGATGACACGGCAAGCAAGCCTGAAAATCAGGAGGACAAACTAAAATTCAATAACCTAGTAAAATATCGAAATGTAATGTAATACAACACAGAGGGTCGGTCAACACACAATTAACGCATAGCCTGGTTGATTACGTGTTTCAAAGATTGCTAAGTTAGAATTTAAGTGTGAACATTCCAAAGAGAGGACACAGGCAGAGAGAACACGTAGCCAGAGAGAGAGAAAAAAGGATAAAATTAAGATTGATACATTAGGGTTTGTAGAATAATACATAGTGTAATATTACAATGTATAGTCTAAAGGTATAGTATAGGGTAGTGTATAGTAACGTAGGGTATAATTCAATGTTGGGGTTTGTCTATGGCAGTGCATCTTACGGTGTCGACATAGAAGTGTAATGTATATTGTTAGTAGCTCAGCTTATTGGAGAGTATAATGAGTTTATTGATTATATTGATGTAGTTTCTATTTCGTTTTTTTCACATCGGTGTATTGTATGGTAGTAGGGTAATTGTAGTTCTTTAGAAACTCATTTTTTGTTGTCCACATAATGCACGAGCTTGATACGCGGTGGTTTGGCTGCTACAGCTCTTTACTATTAAAATTTCTCTCCCTGTATTACTGCTGTAATAATCCTTCGGATACGGCTTTGGAATCGGTCCTCTATATTTTTACCTCCACGATACACTTATTTCACTCACGCTCCGTTGTTGGCAGACAACAGAGAGCGGGCAGACTTCACACCAGCTCCCACCGCGCACGTGGCACCCGGAGCCCCCGTACGCGCGTGGCTCTCGCCCTGTTCGTTTCCCAGTCTGCTCTCAATCATTCTCTCTCACTCTCTTTTAATCCCTTCGTCACGTGGTCCCCCCAGTCAATCCTCCATGGACAGCCTCGACCGTTCTCGATGGTTCCCTGTCACTCCCGGGACCACGCCTCTCATCCGGATCCCCATTAGCTGGGGCCCAAAATGGCTGGGCCAATCACTCCTGATGACATTCCGTGATCACGCCGGGCCCACGCTCCCTATCTCAACCCTTATTGGCTACAAAGCAAGACCAGCAAGCCAATCCCCACGTGAACCCTCTATGGCTGTTATTACACTGCTAATCATATTTCCCTCCCTTTATCACTGCTGATCCTACATAATATACTAGCATAATATAACTTTGAGACCCCCCACCACCTACAAATTCCACAAGTAGTGACTAATCCCATATCTGCATTTGTCATCAATATGCTAAATTCATCTGTTGATATGCAAACTCCTTTGTCAAGGCTCTCTCCTCCTCCGAGCCAGCTTAAAAATACGCTGCCAAGCTTAGCAATGTTCATTAGGACGCTGTCTTTCCGACAGCCCTGTTCTTCACCTGAGAACGGCTGCTTGCGTTGTGGCTGAAACGTCGTGAGAATTTTATCTTATTATGTTTTATTTTTATTATTTTATTATTTCCCTTCTACGTGACTTTACCGAAAGAACAAAGAATATGAATCCATGCAGTCACTTACCTCGTCACGCTCACCGCACTCGAACACACAGCCAGGCCGAGGCCTTGAATCCCAGCAGCTCCTACTCCTCACCTGGATCACGGTCACTTCATCACCCTCAACTCATCACCCTCACCTCGTCACCCTCACCACACTCACCTTGCCCACGCAGCCAGGCCGAAGCCTTGAGTGCCAGCAGCTCCCACTTGTCGTGGTGGTCTGGGGCCAGCGCGTGCAGCCACACCAGGGCCACCACCGTGGCCCACACCTCGTCGCTCACGCCCTGTACCTCGTCACACACACAAACTCCTCGTCACACACACAAACTCCTCGTCACACACACAAGGTCCAGGGGAAGTAGGATAGGCCAGCCTCGTCGACTCGTACTGACTTAGCATCAATTCGCGAGTATCAGATAATAAATCATTAATAGCGAAACGTGGTCTCGCGTGATCTTGTTGAGCAGTGTGTCGCGTGGGGAGCTGCGTGTAGTGTGCGTTCGTCCACCCCGTGTGCGATACAGGTGCGCGGTCATAACGCGAGTAGTCAGGGGTGAGTGTAGTGCTGCGGCTCGCCTCGGGGGAGCGCTGCGCAGAGCGGCCCGAGAGTGGGTGTTGCGTGTGTTCACTCCGTGTGTGATACAGGTGCGCGATCATAACGTGAGTTGAGTTGGAGTGCGCGGAGCGGCGTGTGTGTGGGCGTGCGTACGTTCGCTCCGTGTAGGTTGCAGGCGCGCGATTAGGAAAGGGAGGTATCGTAGTAGAGAGGGACAGAATACTACTTGGTAACTAACCATGCCTATTACGCGGACCCGCGGTGGAGGGGAATCCTCGAGCGACGGCTCCCACACCATGGGTGAGGAACTCAGCAGCGGTTCGCATAGCAGCGGGGTGGGCGAGTGATGATGGTAGCCCGGCCGTTAGCATTATCGAGGGAGGGATCACGGGGGCCAGCGACCCCCACACAAGCACACATGCGAACGAACAGTCAGGGAATCAACCAAGGCCTCCAAATGGTGGAGGGATGCCTCAAAGACGATTGGTCAGGAGGTGAGATTCAAAGGGATTGGAGGAGAGATTCAAATGTAAAAGGCAGTAAATGAGGGTTGACTGTAGGGGCGACGGGCGACAACGGTTGGAGGAGGAGGACGAGGATTGGCTGCATAGAGTGGGGTGAGGGAAGCTTCCAGAAAGGGGGCTCGAGAAATATAAAAATGGGACAGCACATGGGGAGGGGACGTTCAGTGGGAAAGGAAAGTTCAAACGTCAAAAGCGAAACCCGGGCCTATAGATAGGGTTGTGATGGAAATAAAAGCTTTAAGTAAGAATGTGTGTCAGATTCGTTGCACTTGCAAATCGTTGCACGTAATACGCGCAGCTTGCAGAGCACTGGTTTCTGAATTTCTCAATCGTTTCAACACAATGGAGAGAATTATGTCAATCGGTCATCGTGTGTCGGGAATTTCAGCTGCTGCGATGATGAAAGGTTCAACCCACGGTGTGAAGTTGCTCGCTCTGAGCGTGTTCAAGCTGTGGCAACCCATTCGCAAAGAGTCGATCCAACGTAGCTTGCACATGGAGGCGCTAGCTACAATAGGGGCGCCGCAGTGGATATTAAATGTTATCTTCATCGCCTGGTATGCAGGAGGTCGTGGGTTCAGCTCCGACCCTGACGATGCCTGCTGCTGAATATTCGGAGTTTGCATCTCTCTCGTGTGGTTTTTCTCCAACTTTACTCCTGTCGATTCCAAACGTGTTGGAATGCATGTATAATAAACGCAGGGAATGGCTTTAAATGTTGTATAATCTCCTGTAGATGCCACTGGTTCTTCATTTTCTACAGATGTAGATGCCCTGATTCTTCACGTTCTGCAGATGTAGATGCCGCTGGTTTTTCATGTTCTGCAGATGTAGACATCACCACCACCGCCATCTATTGCCCGGCAGTTGAACTTACAATTTCTGGTCGGAACAGGCAACTGGATATATGGACAGGTTTGTTCGTATCTCTGTAAGTATGTGAGTCGAATGTTTGTAAGTAGAAAAGTCTTCCTATTTGGCTACTGCTATAAATGTCTACAAGATGATGATGAAACCACTTCGTTGAGTTAGCATTTGTGTCCAGGTCACTTCTTGCAAAATAGATCTGTATAGCTTAGTGGGTCTTACCTGGTAAAATAAAAATAAAATGTATTTTAGGATACAAAATAAAAAATGCCTGCTGACCTGAAGTCTACTTTGGAGGAATCCGTGATAACATAAAATATCATCAAGGCTCAGCCTTGGAATTCAATAAAATTTGCAGCTCTATGTGACGAGATTATTATTTAGATTTTTGCTGCTATAAATTTCCACATGACAAGCCCCACTTCGTTGAGGTGCTATAATTTGTGATGGCTCAATGGCGCTTGCCTGGTAAAATAAACAGTTTAGTTTTAGTATGTGTATCTATTAGTATGGGTCTCTATTAGTATGGGTCTCTATGATTATGGGACTCTATGAGTATAGTTCTCTGAGTATGGGTCTCTATTACTATGGGTCTCTAATAGTATGTGTCTCTATGAGTATCGGTCTCAATGAGTATAGTTCTCTATTAGTATGTGTGTCTCTATGAGTATGGGTCTCTAATAGTATGGGTCTCTATGATTATGGGACTCTATGAGTATAGTACTCTGAGTATGGGTCTCTATTACTATGGGTCTCTAATAGTATGTGTCTCTATGAGTATGGGTCTCAATGAGTATAGTTCTCTATGAGTGTCGGTCTCTATGAGTATGGGTCTCTAAGAGTATGGGTCTCTATGATTTTGGGACTCTATGGGCATGGCTCTCTATGAGTATTGGTCTCTATGAGTATGGGTCTCTATGAGTATGGGTCTCTATGGGTATTCGTCTCTATGAGTATGGGTCTCTATCAGTATGGGTCTCGATGATTATTAGTCTCTATGAGCATGGGTCTCTATGAGCATGAGTCTATATGAGTATTGGTCTATATGAGTATGGGTTTCTATGAGTATGGGTCTCTATGAATATCGGTCTCTATGAGTATGGGTCTCTATTGGTATGGGTCTCTATGAGTATGGGTATCTGAGTCTAGGCTTCTATGAATATGGGTCTCTATGAGTATGGGTCTCTATGAGTATCGATCTCTAATAGTGTGTTTCTCTATCAGTATAGGTCTCAATTGGTACGGGTCTCGATGAGCATGGGTCTCTATGAGTATGGATCTCTGTGAGTATAGATCTCTATGGGTATGGGTCTCTTTGGGTCTCTATGATGATGGGTCTCTATGAGTATGGGTCTCTATGAGTATGGGTCTCTCTGTGTATAGGTCTCTATGGGTATGGGTCTCTTTGGGTCTCTATGAGGATGGGTCTCTATGAGTATGGGTCTCTATGAGTATGGGTCTCTGTGGGTATCTATGAGGATGGGTATCTATGGGTCTCTATGAGTTTGGGGCAATGTGGGTCTGTGTGGGTGTCTATGAGTATGGGTCTCTGTGGGTCTCTGTGAGGATCGGTATCTATGGGTTTCTATGAGTATGGGTATCTCTGGGTCTTTGTGGAGTTCAATGAGGATGGGTGTTCTATGGGTCTCTATGAGTATGGGTCTCTGTGGGTCTCTATGAGGATGGATATCTATAGGTCTCTGAGTATGGGGCTATGTAGGTCTGTGTGGGTGTCTTTGAGTATGGGTTTCTATGGGCCAGGTCACTTTTGAAAATGAGCTACACGACTCCAAATATACAGCAGGCATCAAGGTCGGGGTCGAACCCTCGCCCTCCTGTATACCAGGCGAGGTAATTAACATCTCACCACGGGAGAGAGAGACACACACATACTCTGAATATACAGCAGACGTGAGGATCGGGGTCAAACACTTGACCTCCTGTATACAAGGCGAGGTAGTTTACATTTCACCACGGGAGAGAGAGAGAGACACACACTCCAAATATACAGCAGGCGTGAGGGTCGGGGTCAAACACTTGACCCCCTGTATACCAGGCAAGATAGTTAACATCTGCTCACCACCGTGGCATACCTCGCCACAGAGCAGAAGCTATGAATAAGTAAATATAGATCTGTGATCTTGTCGACTTCATCAATCGAACCACGAATTATTTCCAAATGCAGGGGTGAGATGTTAACTACCTCGCCTGGTATACAGGAGATCGTGGGTTCGACCCTGACCCTGACGGTGCCTGTAATATACGTGGAGTTTGCGTCTCAATGTCTCTCCTATCGTGGATTTATCTCTCTCCGGGTCCTCCGGGTTTTTCCCTCCATATATTGAATCGATGTCACGTGTTTAGAGTGTTTGGCGACTGCTCTAAATTTCCACGTGATGACAAGCCACTTCACTATGGGAACCTCATTTGCCAGTAAAAATATAATAATAGTTTTTTTACCCTTCTATCTGGCAACAAAACTGACACCTTTTTACAAGGAGTCATGTTTGCATAGACGGCAATACCTGCAGTTATGTCTTTTGTTTGTATTTATGACTGCAGGTATTGCGGTCTATGCAAACATGACTCCTTGTAAAAAGGTGTCAGTTTTGTTGCCAGATAGAAGGGTAAAAAAACCAATTATGACAAGCCACTTCCTTGAGCTATCATTTGTGATGGACAGGTCGCTTCTGAAAAAGAGCTACACAGCTCAGTGAAGCCTTACGAGCCGTCCATAAATGACTTCATGCACGGGGGGGGGGGTCAGACATTTGCAACGATAGGGGGGGGGGGTGTGAAATGTGACGTCACATCAAAATGCGCAACTTTAAATAAATATAGACAACACGTTCTACTTAATGAAACAGACTTTTTAATAAATGTTTTCTCCTACAACATCAGAGTGCAGTGCCACATTAAATACGCACTACAATGACAATAGTTTAAAGCGGTTTGAAACATATTATATTTTGGGGGGGGGGGGCAGAGCTTTGTGAGGTCATATTTGACGGGGGGGGGGGTTGACTTTTTGTGACGCCGTGTGACGAAGGGGGGGGGGGGTCAAAAATTTTCCAAAATCGCGTGACGTCATTTATGGACGACCCCCTTAACCTTTACTTGCAGCTGCACTCCTGGTTCTCAATGGTAAAAAAAATGTGTTATAATGTTAATACATCAATAGAGTTTGATGAAGCAAAGTAGTTGTAGCTCATGTGCCCGTGCCTAATTTGTGTTTTCGATTATTTACATCTCGCTACCCCCCAAAAAGGGCATCCTGCGGCACCCGCAGTTGGGTGTGTGATGCACCCCACATTAAGAAGAAGACACTGGCTTTAAGAGTTTGTGTCACGTAGTCAACACAACACGTGGCCAATTCGTTGCTCGGTTGAGGACACCAATCGGTCGCTGCGTCAACACGAGGTCGTGCCAATGTCCCAGCCACTCCCGCCTCTCCTCCCCACCCAGCACCACGTCGTCGCTCGCCCAGCGGTCGTGACGAGCCGAGGTCGTGGTCACCTCGTCCCTGCCCCTCTGAGGGGGTCTACACAAGAGGAGGGGGTACTGGGTGGGGTGTGGGGTTAAGGGGGCACGTGGAGGGATGAGCGTTACCCACCCAACCCCACACGCCACGTGGATCAGCAGCAAATGAGCGCCGCAGTGGCTAGGAGATGTTAACTACCTCGCCTGGCATACAGGAGGCCGTAGGTTCGATCCCGACCCTGACGATGCCTGTTGTATATTTGTGGTGGCTAGGAGATGTTAACTACCTCGCCTGGCATACAGGAGGCCGTAGGTTTGATCACGACCCTGACGACGCCTGTTGTATGTTTGTGGTGGCTAGGAGATGTTAACTACCTCGCCTGGCATACAGGAGGCCGTAGGTTCGATCCCGACCCTGACGACGCCTGTTGTATATTTGTGGTGGCTAGGAGATGTTAACTACCTCGCCTGCTATGCAGGAGGCCGTGGGTTTGATCCCGACTCTGATGCCTGCTGCTGTATATTTGCAGTGTCCGTGTCTCTCTCTCTCCCCCCATGGTGAGATGTTAACTACCTCGCCTGGTATACAGGAGGTCGTGGGGTCGATCCCGACCCTGACGACTGTGGTATAATTGCAGTTTGAGTGTCTACCCGTGGTCGCGTGGATTTTTCTCCTGGCCTTTTGGTTTTTCCCTCCACATTTAGAATCAACGTCACGCGTTTATTTAGATTGAGGATTTGGAACAGATGAAGATTAGTCCACACACTTTGATGTACCACCTTCTACCTCGCAGAGCCAGGTGTACGGCTTCCTACTCAACACTGCATTATTATTATTCTACACATTTACTCTACAAGTTACAGGGACTCCTCTACTAACGAATGAGTTAGGTTCCAAAGGTCTGTTCGTAAGTTGATTTGTCGACAGAAGTACAACTATAGTCCTGTCAATTCCGAACATGTTGTACGGCGTGTATACTAACCACGGGGAATGGCTTTAAAAGTTGTATTATCGCCTGTAGATGTAGATGCCTCTGGTTCTTCATGTTCTGAAGATGTAGATGCCACTGGTTCTTCACGTTCTGCAGATGTAGATGTCACTGGTTCTTCACGTTATGCAGATATAAATGCCACTGGTTCTTCATGTTCTGCAGATGTTGATGCCACTGGTTCTTCAAGTTCTGAAGATGTAGATGCCACTGATTCGTCATGTTCTGGAGATATAGATACCACTGTATCTTCATGTTCTGCAGATGTAGATGCCACTGGTTTTTCATGTTCTGCGGATGTAGATGCCACTGGTTCTTCATGTTCTGCAGATGTAGATACCGCTGATTCGTCGTGTTCTGTACATGTAGATGCCACTCGTTCTTCATGTGCTGCAGATGTAGATGCCACCAACACCATTTATTGCGCGGTGGTTGAACTTATGGTTCTCGGTCACAAACAGGCCAGTGGACATACGAACGAGGTTTGTTTGTATCTCTGAAAGTTAGTGAGTCGAATATCTGTAAGTAGATGAGTCCCTGTATATTCATCACTCGAAAATAATATATATATGTAGTTCACATTCAGAATACCTCCCGATTAGTGTGGTTTTGGGTTGCTGGATGCGGCAGTTGCTGACGTATTATGAATGGAGATTTGCAGGAATTTGTTTTGCCGATTACGACCCAGACTCCGTGATTTGCAGGGGTATTGCCCCAATTCTAAGCAGGGGTTCATCATTGATCGCTCTTATTGTGCAAGTCCACATTGAACTCTGGTACTGACCACCAGTCACACACACAGTTACACACAGTCACAGCGCTTGTGCCAGGCTATTTGTACGTTAAGGCCACGTGAATCCCCACTGGCAAGAGGTCACGGGGCAGACCCAGGTGCCATGGGTCGACTGACTAAGATAATTGGCCGATGCACCACCTGTGTGCCCTACTGTGCCAATTTGCTATGTTTTAGCCACTTAGTGCTCTGTTCGTTGTTGTGAGCGTCACTCCTCTGCCCTCCGTTGTTGCTAGAGGGTGACTGCCTCAAACTGCCCAGTAGCAGCAACGTCCTTCACGAGCCTTCTCCACAGAGGCTGATCTTGACACCGCTGGTACCAGTCATCGGAAAGTCCACTCAGCTCCACCTCCTCTCATACCACATCACTCTATATCTTCTTTAGACCGTGCTGCGCCCGTTTAACCCCCTTTATCTGGCTGAACAAAAGCTGTTCAGGCATGCGCGGCTGGGCATGCGAGCTACATGACCCAGTCAACGCAGCTTTGCCTGCTGGAGGAGCTCACCGATGGGACTTTGCCCAGATCTTTCAAGGATTTGTAAACTCCTCACACAATCCAGCCTGGTGAAATCCACGTTTCGCAAGTGTAGAGAATGGAGGGCATGACTGTGACCGAGAAAACTCGAAGCTTCGTGTGGAGCGATAGACCAGGTAGCTTGCACATAGTGTTACACAGCCCATGAAAAGATAATGCCGCTAAACTCATTTGGAGTGAGACCTCTGCTGTCAAACCGGAGCCGGTTATAAGCACACCGTCCAGGTATGGAAAACTCTCCACTCTCTCCACGACTGCCCCATCAACAATTGGGAGTTGTGGGGGTGGAGTGTCTGATAAAACAAAATACCCAGGCAGGTGCTTAGTTTTGGTGGGGCTGCTCCAGGTTCAGCAGCAGCGCCTCCAACTCCTCCTCTGAGTAAGCAGAAATCAACAAATCATCGGCATACGTAACATGGTTGACCAATAGGGAGACATCCCTTGACCGCACCCGGGCATCGATCAGCCTCCAATCGTATCTGGTCGAGATGAAAATTCCACTATTGCAGGCTTCACGAACTACGTGGTGAAAATAGATGTTAAATAATGTGGGAGCCAAAAGACATCCATGTCGCACCCCAAGGTGTACAGGGAATGGCTCTGACTCCCGGCCACGTAGTTTTACCCTGGCCCGCTCACCATCATGGTCCTTAATGATCGTGAGCAGAGGGTCAGGGACTCCGAAAGCATGAAGAACAACCCAGAGCCCAGGCCTACTGATGGTATCATAGGCCTTGTCCACGTCAAAAAAGCAGAGATGTAGGTTTTGTTGGAATTTCCTACACCTCTGCTGTAGCAGACGGACAGAAAATATGTTATCTGTGCAGGACCACCCTATGCTGAAACCACATCGGGACTCTGCAAGCCTATCCTCAGCGTGCCTAGCAAGGCAATGTTGAATAATCCTTGCCAGGACCTTTACTGGCACACTGAGGAGTGAGATTCCCCTGTAGTTGTTACAGTCTGTGCGATCCCCCTTCTTAAAGAGGGGAGGCCGCCAGGGCATCCTTCCAATCCTGCGGAACCCATCCAGTGGTCCAGACTGTTGATATGATGTTATGTAGGGCAGTCTGTGCACAAATGCCACCCTCCCTCAGCATTTCGCTTGGGAGATCATCTCTGCCCGGTGCCTTTCCTGGTCTCGGACTCTGGATCGCCCTCAGTACTTCCTCCACAGATGGCACATCAGCCAGCTACTCACAGGGGGTGACTTCTTCTTCCAATATTTGAGGCACCGCAGTCTCGGCAGGGTCATCCCCACTTTGTCCCACGTTGTTTTCCTGGGTGAGGAATTTCCCCTCCCCCGTGACCTCACAAATCCACAGCAAATCTGCAAAACTGTTCCTGTGGGTCGGAGATTGGATCACCGTTCTTTCCCATAATGATGGTAATAGGTGTGGCGCTGCAGGCTACTTTTTTGATAGAGTTAAAGAGTGATTTGTGATCGCGGGCCAATGAAGCAGACTCCATCTCCTCAACAACCCGCGACCACCAACCATCCTTGCAACACCTCAGACTGCAGTAAGCCTCCTCATTCTCCAACGTGTGATGCTGTAGCCGATGAGAGTGGGCCTGTAGATTTTTATCAGCAAGCTTTAACACTTCGTCTGTCAGCCAGGGTCTTTGGGGAGGTCTGGACCGTGTACCCAAAGCAGCCATTGCAGCTGCATGAACCACAGTCCTAAACCTCGCCCATTTCCCCTCGTCATCAGGAGGAGTGGGGGATGATGCCAAACCCAGCCGCAATCGATGATGAAATTCTCGCTTGCAACTTTCATCAGCTAGCTGAGACCATGCCACCTAAGGGTTTGAATAGGGTCCTCGGTGTACACCCACCACCAGAGTAGAAGAATGGCAGGCGCATCTTACAGATACGTCGATGGTCAGTGGGCAGATCAGCTCCACGCTTGATGTCAAGGACATGGGCCTGCATCCACTGTACCATCACTATATGGTCCAGCAGATGTTCTTGCTTGGTACCGGCATGGATCCATGATGTGGTGTGGATGCGCCAATGCTTGAACAGCGTGTTGGTAATTACAAGCCCATGGGCTGCACAGAAATCTAGCAGCCTCCTGCCACTGTTATTGTGCTGATCTGGTCCATGCCTTCCAATTACTCCAGACCAGGTGCCACCATCATGACCAACTCGGGCATTGAAGTCACCCAACAAGATGACTCTATGCCAAGGGGCCACTTTAGCTAGCACCTGTGACAGGTCATAGAAGGCATCTGACTCATCGGCCTTAACTGCATCCCTCCACGAATGATCGTCTTCAGTGGGGGAATAAGTAACCACGACCACCACTCCTCACCTCTGGTTGATGTCCTCAAGGTGGCAGGAGCCAGAGCCAGTCAAGCAGACCTCCTGAATACCACAGAGATCCAGGCGGTACCGGTTAAGCTCCCGACAGAGGAGTGGCAGCCTCTCCTCCGCAGTGAGCTTTCGAACATTCCACGTGGCCATAAGCATTGGTTTTTGTGCTGTTTCTGGAGGAGCCTCGAGGGTAAGGATTTACTCTCCTGGCTCTGCCAAATGAGGTTTGGCCAGGAGACATCATAGACGCCTGTCCCCCGGGGCCTCCGGCACAAGCTTAATACGTTCTTTGCATCGTAGTTTAGTGGTAGTTAATTGAAGGTGGAGGGGTTACCAGCCCCCTGCACCCATCCAGAGCCCCCCATTTGGCCGCTGTGGTGGCTACAAACGCCATGAGGGGAAAAGGCAATCTGAAATTGGCCCTCCCCGAACGGCACTGCCCACGACAGCGTTGCCCACCGCTCTCCACACACACAGTCACACACACAGTCACACACAGTTACACAACCAGCCATAGAGGGATTGACAACGCAGCAAGAGGGAGATTGGCATCTCGCTTCCACGAGGATCGCCTTGCCCTGCATCTCCCGGTCACTCCAACTCCTCGTGCGCACACACGCAGAGAGGTCACCGCCTGGTGTCTCCGATCTCCAGTCTGTTGACCCTGGAGATCGGCTCAGCTCAGGCCCTGATAAGTCTCCTATAATCCACCTCTATGCCAAACGTCGTTCGCAACAATTGTCTCTCGTTCGCTTATTCGTCACAGGAGAATGACACATTGCTGGGTAGGTGGGGACAGCAGTGGCGAGATGAGTGAGTGGGTGGGTGAGTGGGTGAGTGGATGAGTGAGTGGGTGGGTGGGTGGGTGAGTTGGTGAGTGAGTGAGTGGGTGGGTGGGTGGGTGGGTGAGTTTGTGAGTGAGTTGGTGGGTGGTGGGTGAATGAGTGAGTGGGTGAGTAGGTGGGTGAGTTGGTGGGTGAGTTAGTGAGTGGGTGGGTCGGTGGGTGGGTGAGTTGGTGAGTTGAGTGAGTGAGTGAGTGGGTGGATGGATAGGTGGGTGAGTGGGTGGGTGAGTAGGTGGGTGCGTGGGTGAGTTGGTTTGTGAGGGAGTTGGTGAGTGGGTGGTTTAGTGAGTTGGTGAGTGGGTGACTGGGTGACTGGGTGGGTGGGTTAGTATATGATTAGGTGGGTGGTTGGGTGAGTTGGTGGGTGAGAGAGTGGGTGTGTGGGTTTGTGGGTGAGTTGTTGAGTGAGTGTGTGAATTAGTGGGTGAGTGAGTAGATGATTGAGTCGGTGAGTGAGTGAGTGGGTGGTTAAGTGGGTGATTGAGTGCATGAGTCAGTAGGTGAGTGAGTGGGTGAGTGTGGTGTGTTGGGTCAGTTGGTCGGAGAAGGTTGAGTATGGAATTTGAAGCTTCGTGGTATGCAAGAGGTCTTGCATTCGATCCCGACTCTGATGCCTGTGGCTGAATATTTGGAGTTTGTGTGTCTCTCTCTAGCCCCGTGGTCGTATGGAATTTTCTTCGGGTCCTCCAGTTTTTGCCCACCACATTTACAATCAACATCACGCGTTTCGGGTATTTGACTGCTTTCTCTACATTTCTACGTGGTGATGATGATATCAGCCACTTCGGTGAACAAGCTATCATTTGTGATGGCCAGGTCGATTCTGAAGGTTATATCTATCTCTATGTATCTCTATAGGTCTCGATGCGTCAGTCATTTCCACGCGATGATGTTATCAGCCACTCTCTTGAGCCGCTATCATTTATTGTTGATGGCCAGGTCGCTTCTGAAAAAGATGCTCCATAGCTGCTCAGTCGTGGAGCCTTTAACCTGCTACAATAATAATCGTTTAGAGTCCGCGGGATCGCGTTCAGGATGGTATTGCTCCTGCTGCTGTCGGGCAATGCAAAAAGATCAATGTCCTGACACGTCGCACAATGCACAAGGTCCATTTCCTGAAACGTCGCATTATGTGGAAAGGTCCATTGTCTGTAACGTCACACAATGCACAAGACCCATTGCCAAACGTCGGGCATTTCAGAAAGATGCATTGCTTGAAACGTGCACACAATGCACAATGTACATTGCCTGAAAAGTCGCACAATGAAGAAGGTCCATTGCTTGAAACATCTCACAATGCACAAGGTCCATTGCCTGAAACGTCGCACAATGCAGAAAGTTCCATTACCTGAAACGTCGCTTATTGTCTCGGTTTTTTTTTCTTCCTTCCTGTGGAGGCCACACATGGTGATGCCTGGCCGCATGGCGCCGAGTGGTGGAAGATGATGTCACAATAGCCAGATATGTCACGTGACCACCGCGCCATCCAGACCACGTGGTAGCGTTTTGGTGACGTACACGTGCATCCGTCGCCACCAATCCGAAAGGCCACCAAAGTCACAAAAGACAAAGCTCCCCCGAGTAGCCTCCAACAGAGTGTTGGGGCTAGTGCTGTTAGCGAGCTACTTATGCACACAGAGACAAAGATCCCCCGTGTAGCCTCTAACAGACTGTTGGGGTAAGTGCTGTTAGTAGTGAGCACCAATACACAGAGACAAAACCCCCCTAGGTAGCCTGTGTCACACGCCGTTGGGGCAAGTGCCGTTAGCGAGTAGCAGCGTCTATGACGGGGTGGGTGGCCAGCACCACGTGCACGCGGCCGCCTTTGTCTCTCACACTCACTCAATCACTCAGTCACTCACACTCACTCACTCAATCACTCAAACTAACTCACTCACTCACACTCACTCAATCACTCACTCAATCACTCAAAGTCACTCACACTCACTCAATTACTCACTCACTCAATCACTCAAACTAACTCACTCACACTCACTCAATCACTCACAAAAAACAAAGACAAAGAACCCCCGTATAGCCTTAACAGACTGTTTGGGCAAGTGCTGTTAGCGAGCACCTATGAAGGCCGGAACGGTACGCGAGGGGATGGGTGGCCAGCACCACGCCCGACCGCCTTTGTCTCACCCGATGTTATGGACACGGCATGCGTGATGACAAGGAGAGTCATAAGGTAAAGTACACGCCTTATGATTGGTTGCTTAACGGGGCAGAAATTGTAAGAGGATTGGAGGTAGAAATACAAACATGGAAAGAGCAGGAAACGGAGGATGATTGACAGGGAGGGACGGTTGGAATCCGTTGTGAACGATGGGAAGGTGATTGTCTTGAGGGAAAGCGGGAGGCCAAGGAACCTTCGGGACAGGGGCTTTAGGGATTTATAATTGGGGAAAAGCGAGAGAGAGAGAGAGAGTTGGGAATGCTTGGAGTGAAGGGAATCCTTGCAGATCCATGCGTGCCTCGTGCCTTAGAAAATAAAGACTCCTACTGTTGAAGGCTGCTGTGTCAGGTGTCACTACAGACGCACCAACTTTGGTCCCCACTCTGCCAACTGTCTGCATTTTGGTTTAACACGTAGGCTTTCATGCCCAATATTATCCATACTATTGCATTACTATAAAATTACATCATAGTATTGCAATTACAGCCAGCCTCATCAGGCGATAGCCAGAATTCTGGCTGTCCGCCTGATGAGGCTGGTTGTAATTACCAGCGAACGTTACGGTACTCGCATTGTAAATGCACAACCGGTGTGATGAACTAGTAACTAATTGCCATGTTTTGTTTCAGTGACAAATCTTACGAATTGGGTGTGTTGGGTGGTGGCGGCTTAAACGACACATTTATATTCACATAAACTTCTTTCTCTCTCTCCACAACTGTCCCATCACTCATGGGGAGTTGATGGATTGAAGCATTTGATGACCTAAAATACCGAGATATGTCCTTTGTTTTTTGTGGGGTTGATGGTAAGGTCCATCTCTTAGTGGCACGCTCCAGGTTCAGCAGCAGTGCCTCCAACTCCTTCTCAGAGTGGGCAGCAATCACCAGATCATCGGCATACAAAACATGGTTGACCAATAGAGAGCCATCCCTTTACCGAAACTGGACATCAATCAGCCTCCTATGTCTCTGTACCCGATGGAAGTTCCACTGGTACAGTCATGGTAAGCCTCTCGAACTACGTGGTTGAAGATAATTTAAAATAATGTGGGAGCCAGAGGACATCCTTGCAGCAACCCCAAGGTGAAGTGAAATGGCGCTTACACCCTGCCATGCATCATTGAAGGTCCGTCCTTTATGATCATGAGCAGGTGATCTGGGACTCAAAAGCACGAACAATAACCTAGAGCCCTGGCCTATTAATGTTATTCTAATCATTGACCAGGTCAATGAAGCAGATTTGTAGGGCCAGTTGAAACTCTCTACACCTCTTCTGGCCTCATACCACAATGGGGCTCCGAAAGCCTCTCAGTGTGCCTTGCAAGGCGATGTTGAATAATCCTTGCCAGGAGCTTTTCGGCACGCTGAGGAGGAAGATGTTCCTGTTGTTGTTACAGTCTGTGCAGTCTCCCTTATTACAGAGGGGGGCCGCCAGGGCATCCTATCAATCCTGCGGAACTCGTCCAGACTGTTATTATGATGTCATATAGGGCAGTCTGCACACAAACGCCACCCTTCCTCAGCATGTCACTTGAAAGGTCATATCTTCCCGGCACTTCACCTGGTTCCTAGCTCCGGATCGCCCTTCACACTTCCTGAACAGATGGCACTTGAGCAAACCACTCACTAATAGCGGCTACATT